GGGGGGGGGGGGGGGGGGGTGACTGTCTATATAGCGGAAAAGAAAGGCTCCGAAGGGTTGTAAAACGGGTAGTAGTGCACATGTCCACGCAAAGGTGAATAAGAGGTCAGTAAACTCTTCGACACACATTCCTATTTTGGAACTGAGCTGCCACAGTGAACTCTTCCTGCTGGAAACTGATGCTGACTCCAGTTTCATTCCTCAGAGAAATCTGGCCCAAAATTTCCTTCCAGCACATTCAGTTTAAATTAAACCTAAACTCTACATTTTTCTTCAGGTTTGTCTTTGGTGTGCCCAGCCATTTATTTTTATTATACGTGTTAGATTTGCATCCCATCTTTTGTGCCAGACTTCAAGGCAGCTGATGTGGGGATTTAACTTTACTTGAGCCCCACAACAACAGTCCTGTCAGGTAGGTCTGGCGCAGAGTTTCCATGGCTGAGGATGGGAGGAGTCTTCCTGGTCCCAGGATCTGCAGGCCCTGACTGGTTATAACAGCCCCGATTTTTAACGTGTGGAATTTTCTGATGATGAATTTGCTTCACACAGAGGAATCCTGGCCAGGAAAAGATGGAACATCATCATTCAGTGTCCTTGCTTGCATACAAGATTTGAAAGGAGGACCAGTTTTAACAGAGCCATGCACAGCTTAGTCATTCATTGAACACAGATTCTGACGTTATGTACTTGTGCACGGTGTTGTGATGCATGTATGGAAGGCAGAGCTTGTGCTGTGTTATCACTAACACGCATTTTGTTGCATGGCATCGTTGCGATTTGGAATGGATGAGTGAAGCAGCGGTCCACTGGCCGCCCTTGAAGACTGGGTCATTTCTGCCAGCTGCGATGGAAGAGGAGGAGCAGCTTGGCTACTTGTGCAACTACTTGATTTCATGTCGTGGTGGTGGCAATGGTGAGTTCATGTTCATTCTTGTGCGCATTCTTTATTCCGAGCTGGGATTGGGGGTGTTGCATCTTGAAGGAAGATGATGCCATTGCATGGAAGGCCGGATTGCTCAGGCTGCCAGGAGCAGGGATGCAGACTCGGCTCTAGGATTCCTATGGCGCTCCTCAGGAGGAAGCCCAGCATCGTCCATCTTTGGAATTAGGGAAAAATGAGATGAGGAAAGGGAGTTTCAATCCTGTCCAGGCTGCTTTACTGAGCAATGCTCAGGAGCAGGTTGGGGCTTTTGCAGAAGCCATCGTGGCAAGTGAAGTGGCCGTGGAAGGAGACCCCTGGTGCCAGGATCCCAGACACCAGGAATTCTGTGGTGGGCACCCATGAGGCATCCCTTCAAATTTGCTTACAATCTGGAGGTGGTGGTGGTGGTGGTGGTGCATCCCATCATTGAGAACCTGTGTTGACCTCCTGGACCTGACATTACTTGTCTATGGCATTAGTAAAGATAAAAGGATTGATGAGCATGGGCAGATGCTGTCTACCAGGCTGAGAACTCTGGACTCACTGGAGCTTGCCAAATTGGTAAACTTTTAAAAGCGTTCATTTGTGAGCACAAGTTCTCTAGGGCTGCAGGGAACCTTTGAAAGAGGTATTTCACAAAGGGCTGGATCCTGTATACCTTTTATTGAATCATTAAAGCAGCCATGTCTTTTGAACAGCTCTAGTGTTGATCACCTATTCGATTTTGTTTACTCTTGCCCCCAAAAGCTCCCACTGATCTAAGTTTCTTCTCAGGTTGGGAGCAGCCTGGAAGAAGTTGAGATCCTTTGAGTTCAAAACTGCTCTTGGCTGCAGGTTTCATTTAACCTTTGGGAGGACTTTATAAGGCTGAAATGTCCTGACTACGGAAAGTGTAAGTCATGCAGGCTGCAATCAGGAAAGAGGAGGGATCCAAAACCCTAAATGTAACATGTTGATGATCTTTGTAAATATGCACTTGATTGTACTTAAGTTATCGTGGAATATCTTTTGTCTCCAGCACTATATGACGAACCCTGCAGGGTAACTGCAAAGTTCAAAATACAAAGACGACCATATACCAAATTGTAATATTGTAGAAGAGGAAGAACTATGAGGGCTAAATGAAAAGTAATGCCTCCACTTCCATAATTTTAAATAGGGATATTTTAATAAATGAAACAGAAAATAGTCCTTCAAAATGCACTCTTGTTACCTGTGTTTACTTTTCCACATAATTACTACCATTCACTACATACTTCTGCTAACAATGGACAGTGTCATGAAAGAGCTCCACGCTTTGTCTCTTCAGTCAGGTTCTGATAGTCCCTTCCATCTCTTTATTTGGGGCAAAAAGATGCCAATGAAGATATGATGAACAGGTGGAAGTCTTTGTCTCTCTCTTTCTCTAAATTTTATTAAGAATATTTATGTAAGTAAAAAGCAAATGTAAAGAAAAAATATAAAGAAAAGAAGAAAGAAAGAAAGAAAGCAAAACAGAATGAGAAAGAAAAATAGTTAAAGAATAAAAAATAAGCAACTTCCAACCTTCTTTTCAACTATCAAACAAACTCATTATCCCTCCTCCCTCTTGGTATTACAAAGATCCCTTCAGCCCGTTATTTAATCCTTTTTCAGTCATCAAAATCATAAATCATCACTTTTTTCCCATTTCCAGCAAAAAGTCATAAAAGGTTTCCAGTCTTTTATAAAAGTACTTGCCACTTTGTCCCTGACCAAATAGGTCAGTTTTGCCATTTCTGCCAATTCTGACATCTTCACAATCCATTCCTCCATTGTGGGAGCTTCAATACTCCTCCATTGCTGTGCACATACAATAATAACCTTGCTGCAGTTATCATATATAAAACCAGTCTTCCATAAGTCTTTTCTAATTGGCTATCCATAAGTCCCAATAATAAGAGTTCTGGCTTTTTCTGAATATTAATCTTTAAATTTTTTTGTATCATTGTATGTATTTGTATCCAAAATCTTTTGGCTTTTTCACAAGTCCACCATGCATGGTAAATTGTCCCTTCATGTTTTTCACATTTCCAACATTTATTTGAAGTACTTTTATACATCTTTGATCATTTCTCTGGGGTCATATACCAACAGTACATCATTTTATAAAAATTATCTTTTACATTATGAAACAATTTGAAATTTCATCCCATTTACCCACATTCCCTCCCATTTATCCATCCATATGTTATAACCAAAATTTGAATTATAAAAGGTGGAAGTCTCATGTGCCAAGTCTGAACTGTATGGTGAATGGGGTAAGATGGTGAGATCCAGCTTAGCAATTCTCTCTTGGTGGCTTGTAAGGTGTGAGGCCTAGTATTGTCATGTTGCAGCAAAATGTCTTTCTTGGGTTACTGAACTCCACTTAATTGTTGCAGTGTAGCACTCTGATCGTGTGCCAGATTCAGGAAAATCCATGTGAACACAATTTGCATCCCAAAAAGCTGTAACCATGAGTTTTCCTGCTAAAGCCTGAGTTTTGAATGTTTTTGTGGGGTGTGGGGAGAGAGGTGAAGTTTTATGATGAAAATACATGGACTGACACTTTCTTTCTGGGTCATTCAGCCCCTGAAGCCTTCATCTCTGCTGCCAGCAAATGAGGAACTCACCTTGCACAAACCTTCAGATACTGAAGAACTCAAAAAATATGGTCCGTGTATTCCTATGAAATGCCAAGCTTGATAGTAGTTTCCCTCTGAATGATCTGCTATTTGTCCTTAATAATTTCACAACCTTTTCTATGTGAAACTCTTTGACTGCTGTTACAAGTCAAATGGTTTGGTTTGGTGAAGGCCACGCTTGGGGAGATAAGCATTAGCCCCCAGAAGGAGCGTGGGAAGGTGAAGAAGACTGGCACCACCCTAAGGAATTTGCAGTGTTTGCTTGCTGGCTGGGGAAGTTTAGATTCAGTCTGGCGAGATTCTGTCTTGTAGGTGGAAGCTAATAAATGCAGTAGAACTGATTCTGTACTGTCTCGTGGAGTTCTTTGAGCTGAACCTGACATCAGCTTTATTCTTGATCACACAAATCAGCTCTTCCCAATTCACCATCTTCACCATTTTTTGGCCAGCAATGCACAGTACTCACATTAACATAGTCATTACTGTAAGCAACTTGGTGATGAATTTCACTTGGAGGGACTCCTTTAGCAATGGTGCATTGTAGGCTGCAGGCTTCCATTTCATGAACAATAGCAACACCACCTTTTCTTATAGCAGTTTCCCACCAAATGAAGTAAAAGAACAGATGGCAAAGAGCAGAGCTTTTTTCAGAGCTTCTAGCCCATCAGTACTGCCATCTGTTGCCAACTTATTGGAGGCATTATTTTTCATTCAATCCTTGTAAATATTCCATCAAATGAATTTTTCCCTGTGTAGCATTGTGCCTTCTAATTGGCCTTTTACTTATCCTCTCCAGTGTCCATTAATTGAATGCACAGCTCCACATATCTGAGGACTAGATAAGGACCAGCTTCTTCCACAGAGAAGGTAATGTTCCATTCCCTTACAAGCAGCTGGTGCTTTCAGTGTTCTCAAAACTCTGCAAAGCTGCATTTAAACTTCTAGTTTAAGAAGTTCTAGAATACCTCTGGAGATCCTGAGACAGTAACTTCCAATTTTCTTGTGAATCAGATTATATGTTCAATAGTTGAACTAGAGACTTCACACAGATTTCCACCAAGGCAATGTTATATGGTACATAACTGAGAAAGAATGGCAAATACTCCCAGGGATAAAGTAGACTGTAGATTCTTGTACATATATACTTAAATGCACTTGGGAGCATACCATCCAATAGTCAGTCAGTCCTTCCTTCCTTCCCTCCTATCTCTCTTAAACTTTTAAACTTATTTAGAAGAGTTTGGATAAGTTGCTGAGTAAAACCTCCTCAGCTGAAGGAAGAGGAGGAGGACAAGACCTCTACCACCTTCGTTTTGATTTTATACTATATGCAAAGCTGAATTTAAGTCCCTAGTTCTGTCCAGCCTTAACAATACTGCTGGACATCTGAGAGAGTAACTTCCAAATTCTTTTGTGGATCAGATTATATATTCAATAGTTGAACTAGAGACTTTGCATAGATTTCCACCAAGCCAATGGTATTTGGTATACAAGTGAGCAAGAATGGCAAACACTCCCAGGGATAAAGTAGACTGTAGTCCAAAAATTTACATGCTATAATAAACTTGATAGTTCTTAACATGCCACAAGATTCTTAGCTATTTTTGCTGCAACAAGTAAATACAACTACCTCTCTGAAATGTGCAAATAGGACATTTGAAGTCACATAGACTGCCTTACTAAACAAGCTGCCATAACTACGTGGTTAATTCACAAGCAAGTAGTTCTTGTACAGTAATTCAAAGGTCATAATCTCTGAATTATAATTAAATAATTATAATATATAATTAGTAATTATAATTAAATAATTCACAGCAACCACTGAATTACCCTGATATTCCAAAGAATTTGGCTAAAACCAGTTGGAGCCACTGTCTGTTGGGATAGCATGGGAATAAGTCTAGACAGTATTGACAGCCCCACAGTGTGGTTTCCAAATTAAGCCTTAATAGATTACTTAATTGCTCTACCCTTTAAAATGACTTCTCAGTGCCTTCTTAATAATCCAGGATCATGGCTGGTGTGGGTCTTCCGGGCTGTGTGGCCGTGGTCTTGAAGTCTTGTTTCCTTAATAATCCAGGATCAGCTTCTGGCATCCTTCCTTCAGTTTCACATGCCAAAAGTAATCAGAGGGTCACATGACACCATTGGGAAGCCTGAAGGCAGTTGATTAAAGGTGTGATTGCAACTCCTACCTCTGTAGGAGCAGGATTTTCCAGCATCAAAAACGAACATTGTCTAGTTTCCAATAAACATGTTAGATGGGGAAAATCAACTGGAAGCTTTTGATGTTGGATAGCTTTTTAGAAAAAGCAGGAAAGTTTCAAATTAATTACTTATTCAAGCAACTGCCCCATGGCAATCAAAGAATCTTTGAGTGGGTAATTGTGTGTGTGTGTGTGTACACACAGTATATGTACACACATATACATACTGCTGTAGACCCCTTTATATAGAAAGCAAGATTTAAAACAACCACACTCAGGTTAAAGCTGATCCCAATCATCATATAAAATATATTGAATATTAGAGGCATCTCTTGCCAATTAAACTGGTGCAAACTTATTATCAGCTTGTTTCTCCTGCAAGAGCAGTAACAGGTGTGTTTTGGAGGCTGTCGCACAAGCCAGCATCCATGCTTGCATGAACCACATAAAAGACAACTGTGTGTCTGTGGCTTGAAGATGGGAGATCAAATTATGAACAGAAATAAATCATTGCAGCAGACGTCCAGGGCTGCTCAGGCCCAGGGAACTTGGATTCATCAATTCACCAATGGGATACCAATTTCTTGAATTATCCTCTATTTCAGTGTTTTCATGCTACTGTGAATGGTTTTCAGATGCTTTGAAAAGGAAACCTCTGAGACGCTTCAGCCTTCCAAAGTCCATTTCCATCTGCCTATCCAAATCCGAGTAAAAAGCTTGTTCTTTGCCACTAAAAAGAAGGCAAGCCACACTATCAAACATGGATCTCCAGAACAGTTCCTTGCAAACAATGCTGAGACGTGTCAATGGATTTTCAGAGACAGACTAGACAACCGGTGACCCGTTGGGTCATATTTTCAGAGATATTTCCTTACCTAAACAGAGAAAGAGAATGACCAAAGGCAAAAAAGCAGTGGGAGTGTGAGCGACTTATGACTTGCTGCCAGCTTCCCCATTGTCTTTGCTTGTGGGCAGCTGGCAGGAAGTGTCAGAACTATTCCTTCCTTCCTCTCTTCCTCTCTGTCCTTCCTTCCTCCCTTCTCCTTCCTTCCTCCCTTTTCCTTCCCCTTCCCTCCCTCCCTCTTCCTCCTTCCTTCCTTCCTTCCTCCCTCCTTCCTCCCTCCCTTCTAGTCTTACATTGTTTGTCCTCCCCTCACAATCCTTAGGAGAGTCCCAGTGAAGCCACCGCCACTTCCTCCTCAGCTGACCCACAGAACTGCCTGCCACTTTGCTGGGGGGAGGTGGAAAAAGGGAGCTGCAGACCATGAGGAAAACTGCACCCCCACTCTCCATTCTGGCTTGACTCCAAGGGCTCCCTCCCTCGAGGGAGGAAGAGGGCTCGCCCATCAACCACTGGCACCCTCCAGGCAGCCCTTCCTTGCCAGTAGGGATACAAGTTACTCCCTCATCCTTCCCTCAATGCCCACTGCCGTTAAGAGATTTCAAATTTCTCATTTCCAAAGCAGCCACTCGCCACTCACCCATCAGGCATTGCCACCAGTTGATTGGGTGCAGGGGACAGAGGTAGGTAGGAGAAAGGTTGGGGATATGTCCATAATGATCACATGGCCTGGGCTGATTACAGTGGTGCGGCAGCACAGCAGTGCTGAAGTGGCCACAGATTTCCCAAATTTCAATTCCATTGGAATAATGGGTCCTGGATTTTGGACTCATTCTGTAGGTTGGCCCATTTGAAGTACAATGGTTCAAAAACTGTTGCCCTATGACACACCATTTCACCCAGTTGAAGGTTACAGAGAGTTTTAGTAGTATATAGATGGAGCCCATCTAAAACATGTATGACATCAGGGGGCTTACTGTGCCAACATCATTTAAACCATTTCTTTGTCCTCTATTTCAATGACTCCTCCCTCCCTCCAACACAAGTTATTTTTAAGGATGAACTCATTCACCTCACACTACAGTACAGGGATCCCATCACATTTTACAAAATCATCATCATCACCATCATCGAACCCTTTGTTTACCACAGACTTTTTAATTTGCTAGGAAGACAGAACATTTCTGGATGAAAAGTCTGGAATTCTTCCCTCCCTCTATTGGAGAAAAACAAAATCAACTGTAGCAGACTTAGCAAAATCTGTTTTAGGTAGAGGGAGATTTAGCACATATGTCATCTTTTGCTGTAGCTGTTTGCCTCACCAGCCAACAATTCTTCACCTCTTTGATCCAGTTCGCCAGTTACCAAATAAACTATGGTTCCATTCGTCCAAGTTTCTTGCTTGGCCTGAGTGTCTCTGCCTCCTGGCCCTGAGGAAGTGGGTCTGATCTTGGCCAGTCTTGCACAGCACAACAGTGTCGAACTGAGTAACATGGAAAACCCACAAAGCAGGAAAGATGCAGTGTAGTTGCCAGTTGTATCCACAAGCCAACCTGTAGTTAACACAGAAGACTAGTTCATGTATTTCGCCTTGTTCACACAATTTTGTGAATCAAGGTTTATTGACACTAAGTTAGCTGGGCTTATACAATGTGGTATAAACAATGGTGTACAAATGACAGTGACTAGGATGTCTTTCTTTCTGAAACTAGCAAAGTTTCCTTATATTATATTCATATAAATGCAGGCAACCTCCAGCCTCAGAGATTTATGTGGCCCCCAAGGGTCCTTCTGTGGTCCTCAGAATCCCTTCCAAACTTTCCCAGTACGTTGGTGAAATTAAGAGATGGGCTTCTGGTGTACCCTGTCAAATAGACTTTACATAGTTGAAAATGGAAAGAAATATTTCCTTCCAAATCCCCCCAAAATGGGGAAAACTAAAACCCAGCTCAGTCCATCTGACTGGGTTGACCATATCCACTTTACATCATTGCTCTACCTGCTACAATGCTTGTCCATACCAAATATGTTAATTTTTTAGATTTATTTTTATTTAACAGTGTTATATGTTTCATCCCACTCATTGCAAGATTCTGAAGAACGTACGAGAGCAATAAAATAAAATCAACCAATTACTAAAATCCATCTTACTAGCTAGAGAACCAGAAATAAATATACATGTAATACAAACAAATCTGTACCCCAAACCAGGCAGCCCAACAATCTTAATCTCTCAAAGCCCAGCAGAACAGAAATACTTGACCACATTTCTGAAAGTCAGGAAAGTGGCCAATCTGACTGTGAGAGGTGGCTATTCCACAATTGTGGATTCATAGTAGAGAAAGGCTGCCTCCAGGACCCTCCTTGCTTCAATTTACATGCAGTGGGGACTTGAAACAACCCCTCTCTGAAAGATGAGCAAACTGGAAGGCTTGTCTTTGGAGGAGTAACTAGGAGCCTCAAATGGTCAATAAGCACCAAGCCTTTGTACTGCACTCAGAAACTGACTGATAACACCACGAGGCACACCACCACCATCCCTTCCATCAGGACCAACATGGCTGGTAGATGGGGGCATTGAAGTAGATAAGCTTTTCCCCTTTAAGAAGACACATTGTTATGTTTGTTGAATGAAGTAATTCGTTCGCTGGAGATCAGCAATCTTAGAGGAGAGGTAAAGAGCAATCTGAAGGAGAGAGAAAGAAGAGATCTGGAAGAAATTCTTCCTTGTGGGCAGTAGGTTGTGAGATGCTGAACAGGTGGCAAGCCTGAATTCCTGTTTCAAGTACTGCTTCTCATTGGCTCATGTGCTGATTGAAAACTCTCATCATATCTCAAAAGGTTGTCGGTGATCTCTTGGTAAAAGGATTAGTGAGTCCAGCATGTCTTCTGATTGGCAATAGCTCAGTGAGTCCCTTGTCTTCAGCATCTCAAACACAGTGATATTTTCTGTCTATGTACTATGTGTCACTGTTCTGGATGTAGTCGTCTCCATCTGGGAGAGTTGGACCCATCCTGATTGACTTCCAACAACACGATTGGCTTTGGCTCATCAATCCCAAAGTCCCTGAATGCAGCCTCACACTCTTTGGCACACTTGTTCTGCATATTGTCCACTTATCCAACTGATCTACAGGACTTTCCACCTGTCCCCTGTCCATGTAGTCTACCAATGTGGGGCTGTTGTTGGCTGGCAATCTACGTGTGCAGATTGATAATCTATAACTGCCCCAGTCCCTTGGCTGCAAATGGGCAACAAACCCATTTATTTGGTATAATCACCTTCCTACACTGGATTCCAACTGATGCGGCAATTTCCAGCCTTGTAATTTTGGCTGTGCGCAGGAGCTTAAGCCTGTGGTTTTTATGGACTGCTTTTGTTTTCTCTTCCGGAGGTTTTCTCCATTCCTTAGATTCAGAAGCTGATGTGTCTTCCCATCGGCAGGGCTCTTGCATCTGTTCCCTGTTGGCAATATTCTGGGTTGATCCCCTTTGTTGAATCTCTCTGATTGCCTGCAGCATTCAATTTCCCCTTCTGGCTCTGCCTTGTCATCAAACTCCAGGCACAGATCAAAAGCTCTTTGATGCTGATGCCCTCGACTCATTGCTCATCTGGACATCATTGCTCATCTGGACATCATTGCTCATCTGGACATCATTGCTCATCTGGACATCATTGCTCATCTGGACATCATTGCTCATCTGGACATCATTGCTCATCTGGACATGTGGAACAAGATCTGACACTTCAAGGTTATTCTGTTTCTCCCTTTCATCAAAATAAGCAATGTGGCATATTTGAATAATTAGCGTGGAGAGATCTGCAATTCTTGCATATAGCAAATATCCAACCAGCACTCCATCCTCACGTCCGCAATCCAGTTTGGTTCTCTTCTTTTTGGCCCATGGGCAAAACCTTAGAACCAAACATTCTCACGTACCGTAACCTAGGCTGGACTTTCTTCCACGCCACCATTGATATGACAGTATTTTGTGTCCATGTTGGCTGCTGCTCCCCAGGATTTAGTTGCCAGCTCTGCCTCCTGCACCTCATGGCTTCTACGAAGACAGCAAATTTTCATCA